AGAAGTTGTTGATATTAACGGACATATTACTGAATCTATTCCAAGAGGCGTGTATAATATGATTGAGGCAGATGAACTTGGACAATATGAAAAACGTGTGAGTGCATCGAAAAGAAATAATTTAATACTGAAACGTACTATGGAACGTATTAATAAACATGCATGGGAAGATGCAATGAAGAAAGATAAAACAATGAAACCGAGAAAAATAACAAAAGTATCAATGATAAAAGATAAAAAGAAGTAAATTAATTTAATTCTTTAATCGTAAATTATGTCTGGATCGTTTCCATTTCCGCCAAATGGTTGATGTTCCATTGGCTCTGCACTATAGTCGTCTTCTTCATCTTCATAATCATAATAATTATCTTCTTCACTTGCTTTTCTATTAAAATAATTTAATCTTTCCTTTTCAAATTTGGACATTGTGTCATTTTCAAAACGTCTATAATTTTCTTCTGTCATTCCTAACGGATTGTTGTCCTGGTAGTCATTTAAATCATCTTCCCACTCTTCCATTAAACTCTCGTTGTCATCTTCTAAATGGTCAAGATCCCTTTTCAACTTAATATTACTCTTTCTCGCTTCCTTTATCTTTTCTGTTAAATCTTCTAAAAAACTTTCATCATAGCCCAGATCTTTCATAAACGTTGTTAATCTCGTCTCGAATTTTACATGTTGTAATGAATTCTCGTTTTCATCTTGATACTTTTCAGTGTCGTCATCTTTAATATCTTCATACTTTTCGTTTAATTCTTTTATTGGGTCATAGTCTTTCTCTTCCTGACTCATATCTTTTGAATCATTTTCAGTTTCAGATGGATCTTTATAAATTTTATCATCAATAAATACGGTGAGCGAATTTCTCCTCCACCACGAGTAACCTCCGTTGAATTTCATGAGATTTAAAACCGAATCATATTCTTTTTGATTCAATAGATGAATGCAAGGCCTCGCAGTTACAATAGCCTTAGAATATTTGACATTCACCATGGTTTTTTTGTTAATTGAAGAAGTTATTGCTTTAATAAGGCGTAATAAATTTTTATCATAATTAATGTCGTCAAATATAATGAATCTGTAATTTTGATCATCATCATAAGTGTCAAATAGCGAGTCTCCTCGGAGCATGAATGTGTTGTACTTCATAAACACTTCTTGAATAGCGAACTCTGTTTTACCGGTCTTAGTTGGACCGACTATAAATAAGTTACCCATTCGGTACTTATCTCCGCTTGCGCACTTTATCCATTTTCTAATTGTCTGTATTTCTTCGGTTTCTTCTTTCCATGGATATAAATTCTCTTTGGTATAGTTCTCCATATCAATACGCCTTGCATTTTTTCTTAACCATCTGGCTTTTATTTTGCCCTCTTGTTGTATGTACTTCTCAGAGTTGATCTCCATTAAATTCTTCTCCAGTTCTTTATAATCGTGGTAGCTATCCATATCGTTCAATGCATTAATCCACGTTTGATTTAATTTTGTCTTATCATTTGGATTACCTCTAAACATTCCTTCTCCTTTTTTGGTAATATATTTAATAATGTTACTGATGTCGCCGGTTCTCGTGGTGTAGGAGTTAACACGTGAATACCAAAAACGTTGTTTAGTTCCATCACTATGATTTATGACTGGACGCGCGTTAAATGATTTAGGTCTGTTAAGTACAATTAATACATGTTGGTGCGGATGTTCATTAGCTTCGTCTCTCTCAACTGGTGATATATGAGCGTACTGGATATTGTTAGTAGCTCCTGCAATTCTATTAATTACTTCAGCAAATTGTGTCTGATTTTGAATTTCGTCTCCCCATAAGGTGAGGTAAGCATATTTACTGGTGAAATGTAGCGGTTTGTTTGTATTTACTAAATGTTGCATTTTTTCATAATCCAATTTACTCGGTTCATTTTGGAATTGTTGACTCATCGCGGTTTTATTGTGAACTGATAATTCCGTTTTCTCGTTTTTTATTGACGTTTTTGCTGACAAAAATCGACGTGTCGGGGTATTATTTCATAATTTTTACTATTTAAGATTACGATTTTGAACTTTAAAATATCAAATCGTATGTCCGGATTTAATCGCCCGAGAGACGATATCTTTGAAACTGTCGCTGCCATGGATTTGGCTGACGTTTATAAAGATGCTCAATGTGATCCCAATGTTAATCCATTCATTAAACGTATTTATTACCTTATGAAAGAACCCCAGTACTTGGAATGGAAACTTAATAACGATCCAAACGTTGTTGATGATGATGCTCGTGAAGATATACTCCGAAGAAAACTCGAATCAATTAAACGATGCGAAAGAATTTCTCAATTTCTTGATGAACAAAATATTGGTTTAAATACTTATTCTGTTTGGTTACGTAAATTTAAGAAGAATTCTACTAAGCTTAATAATGTTATTTCATTACCCGACTGGGTTAGAAAACATTCAAATAAATGTAAAGATGATATTGATGCTGATAAAATTATTGGTGCTGGTTGTCTTACTGATAATGATAACCCCGATGAAATGAAATCTCGTAGAGCTATGACAAAGGGTCCTAAGAAAGATGCAACTGAAAAGAAACCAAAGAAACCAGAATCTAAAGAATAACTTATTTCTTTTTATTTTTCAATTATGTCTGATAATCCTAGTTTTAAAATAATATAAATAATAATAAATATCACTGTAAATAAACTCATGCATACTGTATTACATATTGTTTGAATAACCGTTGGATGTTTTAATCTTTCAATTAGTGGTTCACGTTCTTGTTTGTTTGTTGTATTATCTAAATTGTTTAACATAATAATATAAAGAAGATTCAATTATCTTAGATGTTTAAGCCCTGATTAAGAAGTCTCTTTCTTCTAATACATTTATCATAATAGTCTTCATAGGCATGATTCACCGGATGCAAGTCATAAATATTGTGATAAATCTTTAATTCAGCTTTTCGTCCTCTTGTAATGATTCTTCTAAGCTGCTCTTGTTCATTGCTACAATAAAGATAAATAAAGTAGTGATTAATTGCATCAGTAAATATTGTTGGTTGAATAAATTGATTAACGAATCCTTTTGCAATAAATTTGTTACCATAGTTAAAAGTATCAATCTTTAAAATAATAGATTTTACATCGAATATTTTTGGTATCCCATAAGTCGCGCATAATTCAGTTTCAATTTCTAATAATTTTCGTCTTTGTTCCTGTGTTAAAGCGTTATCGTTTGCACAGAATATCTTGAGAGCTTCAATGGGATGTCTTTCCCAAATAACATATTTTGCATCCTGATAACTAATTGTATCTAGTTGAGTCTCAAAGCAGTGTAATACATACATTTGAAATTGGAAATTAGTAATTTCACCGTCTTTTAATCGCTGTAATTGTTTCTCGCCTTCATAATCAATGTCGATGTATTCGTGAATGATTTTAAATCGTACCGAATCGTTCAAAATTGACTTTAAATTACCAAGTAATGTACTTTTTCCTACTCCTATTCCCCCGGAAATGAAAATATGATTTTTTTTAGTTGCGAGAATAGAGATATAATTAGTTGGTTTATTTAATACTGACATTTGTGTTATTTATTCGTTTTGTTTCTGTTTTTATTTTTGTTGTTACGTATTGATTTGTTATTGCTTTCGTCATCGTTTTTTCTCGCTTCTCGTTTCTATTCCTCAATCATATGATGTTTGTCTCTTTCTCTTGTCGTTTATTGGTTATTTTTATGTTTCTCCGCTTCTTTATGGTTCTATGTTACATCTTCTTCTTATTTCTGCACCTTTCTTTCACCCTAATTCATCACCGTTTGAAATTTTTGAATGTTATTTTCAACCCTGCCACGTTGCGTTTTTATATAAACAATTGTCAGCGAACTAATAATTTCAGTCGGTTCTTGCACTGACTATTTTGTTATATTTTTTTTTGTTTTATAAAAATAAATGAGTAAATAATAATTGAGTTTTGAATTGAGTTAAAATTGAGGTATAATATTTATTTTAAT